GGCTCGCCATCCTGCGGCTCTAGGAGCTCGCAGGCTCAGAATCACTGCAGACAAACAGGAAAAAGCAAACTGAACATCAAATCCGGCATCATAGTACGGAGTCAATCAGGGAAAAGTTGACGTCTTCCATTTGTGGCGTGCCTGCTGCCTTGGTTCATTGTCAATCGTCGCTCCAAGACGCGAATATCGAACCAGTCCACTGCAGATTGCATTGGCTGATCCCGCTTTTCGGGAGCTGGCCTCGAGCAGAAGAAACCCTTCATTCTCTATGGCCTATCTTCGCGCCATTAAGCGCACTATCCGCTCCTTTCCGCCGATTTCATGTTTCTCCTGCAGTGGACCGGAATGAAGACAGTCGTGTATTCACCGCCTGGAAGCTAGTCCATAACCTGCAATTCAAAGGCCCGTTACTTGTGTCGCAGCACCTCGACGGCTGCCAAGTTCTTGTTTGCGGCATCCCACGCCCAAACTGCAGGAACTAGACCGGGTTCACAAAGGGTTCACGGCTACTTGCATGCTCCCGTCGCGCCTCTTTCCACTCGATGCTAACGTCAAATCCGCAGCACTGGGAAATTCCGATCATGATTTCGAATGAATAATCCCAACACAAGCGATGCATTTCTTCAGGTCATGCGCACTCTCCAGGCGTTAGTTGCCTCTCCACTGCTGCCAAAATCTCCTGGCGTCGATTTTGGACGAGTATCACGATTGACGATCCGGGCCGCTGCACGACGCAACCGAAGCTTCAACCAACGCTGTGCCCTTGCAGCTCCTCTGTGAGCTTTGTCTTGCACCTGTCCCCGACTGTTGATCTGCGCCTTATGTTGCGTTTGTGTTTTGCAAGGGAGACTTTCGACTGGTGCGATGAGTCTTCTAGAAGCTTTTATTGCGCATTCTCATTGGGAATACTGGATCATTGTGGCTATCCGCAGCTCAATTTGCAATAGCTTCAGATCCAGCCTCGTGGGTTTTTGTTACATCACGCTGACTGCAAATTCTTTTTAATTTTTAATTTTTTTCAGTTTCGCAAAATTCGGCAACAATGGTTTCAAGTGAAGAAGTCTTCCCGATCTTGCCGCATCCGCCTCACTCCAATAGCATGAGCGGGCCGACCGTTTTCTGCCAGTCTACTTTTCGGTCTGCTATGCATTATGGGTCCTTCGGAGCGTATCCTTCTCTTTCTCAACAAACTGAAGGGCCTGAAGAAACAGTCATGGAAATCACTACCCACTTTTTATGCAGCCGCAGCGCTGAGTTTCTCCATTTTACCTTTCTTTCTTGTACAGCTTTGGTGTATAAAAACCTCCTGCATTGCCCGCTCGAGGATATTCGCTCCTTCCAAACGTCACTGCATGAAGAGCTAATCTTGGTCCCAAATCACTGCAACACAGGCAGTATTGTCCTTCCCGTGATCCCTGAAGCCGTTAAACGTGGCCCGTGTCTCGAACTGCAGCAACGCGTCTGTAAGACAACCAAGTCATGATTATTATGCCCTGTTTCCGTTAATATTCCTGTTTTTGCGTGTCTTCGTGAGAACCCTTCCTTGACTGACAAAGCCTGCCCCTTCCGCCTATATAAAACGGCTGCTTATTTTCCCTATTTAACATCTTCGTTGCCCCCAGAGATTCAACGCCCGGGAAAATCAAGGCACCAGTCAGCACCCTTCAAGCCTGTCTCTTCTTTTATTATTATCTCCTTGTACACATTTTTCTCCCGTCTGATTCGCCCGGTCCTCTACGTTCTCAACCCTTGACCCCGAATTTTGTTTCTCCAGAATGGCGCCAGCCGTACTAGAGATCAACCCGCCATGTGATGCACGCGAGCTGGAGAAGATATCAGACAACGTTGATGCTGTGAATGAGTTTAAAGCCTCCGCGAAGCAATCCTGTGAAGGACCGCAACAATTCGGCCAAGATAAGGACAAGTCCAAATTTCGCCAGTACGATGAAGCTTGCGACAGGGTAAAACCCTTTTACGAAGAGCAACACGCCAAACAAACCGTGGCCTACAACATCCAAGCTCGCCAGGATTTTAAGTCCAAAGTAAGAGCCGAGATGAGTGTTTGGGATGCAATTGTAAAGCTTGACACGTTGATCGATGAGTCCGACCCCGATACAACACTTTCACAGATACACCATCTCTTTCAATCCGCAGAAGCCATCCGTCGGGACGGTAAACCGAGGTGGATGCAGCTCGTCGGCCTAATTCACGACTTGGGCAAACTGCTCTTCTTCTTCGGCGCTAAAGGGCAATGGGACGTGGTCGGTGATACTTTTCCCGTTGGTTGTGCATTCGACGACGCGATCATCTATCCAGGCACATTCGTCAACAACCCAGACTACAAGCACGAGGTTTACAGTACGAAGTATGGCATCTACGAACCTAATTGCGGGCTAGAGAATGTTATGCTATCTTGGGGCCATGATGAATATCTCTACAACGTGGTCAAGTCTCAATCAACACTCCCAGAAGAAGGTCTCGCCATGATTCGGTATCACTCATTTTACCCTTGGCATAGTGCCGGTGCCTATCGGCACTTGATGAAACAGGGGGACTATAAGATGTTGGAGGCCGTCAAGGCATTCAACCCTTATGACCTCTATAGCAAAGCAGACGAAGTGCCCAACATTGATGAGCTCAAGGTATGTCCTAGGTATGCTTCCCCTATTATTTCTCTACTAACCTTGTTACTTTTTAGCCTTATTACCTTGACCTCATAAGACGAATTCTTCCCGCAAAAAAATCATACAGATGGTGATTGAATTACCCTCATTCCTATAAGAAAGGGTTTCTTCGCAGGGCAAAAAGCGTTCCTTGTCACCAGTTAATTTGGTTTCTTGATCCTTTTCACCCATTTCCTAGCTGTACACCATATCATCTGTTAATAACCCCCCTCTTAACCTAGTCAGACTGATTGTTTTACACCTAGCCCAACTTTCAACTGTATCTTTCATCTCTTCCTTTCCTACTATAAACTGGCATTCAATACCCGCTCTTATCTCCTATTCTTTTACCCAGACCCTAACCCGGTTTTCATTATTTGCATTAATTCTACTATATTATTTCCTTTGCCATCTTCGCATATCTCATGATTTACTTTTGCTAGTTTTTGCTACAGGCGGTATCCCATCGAATTTCTCCCTAGGTAAGCCCTACATGTTTTTCCATCCACTCCTCTATGCTCCGCATTTTCCTGTCTGGAAAAAAAAAAGCATCATGCATTTAAGGCTCGCTTTGCATCTTTTCGAACACTGTATGTCATGTATCCCGTTTGACGGCCACTTATAAAAGCTAGGGTTCAGCCATACTGTTGCTAAAGTATCACATGTATTTGATTCCAGTCCTTTGAAAATGAACGTCTGAAGTAGAAATACACGATCAACAGGAATTTTAGAGTGTATCTACTGTTAGGTATTAAATCAAATGTACGTGCATATATGAACATTATAGCCCCAGGCGCCTTTTATATGAAAGTCCAAGTCCGCAGAATAATCCCAACCTCTAATAAACTACTAGTGCATGACCCAATCCATTATATCATAAACAATATCTCCATCTACACCCGATCCCATCTCACCTCTTCCATGGGACCCTCGTCAGCAGCGACGTTCCCCTCACTCTCACTCTCACTCTCGCTCTTCCTACCCTTCATCTCTTGACTGATATCCTTATCATACCCAGACTTGAAGCAAATCACAGGATTGAACACGTTCAGCGCCACGACGGCAATGACAATCATCACACCCTCCAAGACGATAAACAGCGTTTCCTCCCTCATCAGCGGCCCGTCCCAGCCCTCGGAGAGTTCTGCAACACGGTACGCACAGCGCACGAAGATGGTCAGGGTCGCGACGCCCAGCGCCGCGAGAAAAGCGCGAAACATAAAGGAGCCGCGGAGCTGGGCGTGGCGGGGATCGAGGGCGGCGTCGCCCAGGGTGCGCATGCGCAGCCACGCGCGAACGGAGAAGTCGATGGCGAGAATGATGAAGGCGGTTAGGGTGACGACTTGGGCGACGAGGCCGGCGATCATGATGTCTTTGCCGAGATCGGAGGTTTCGCTGTCTTCGCTGGCGGAGGCGATGCCGCCGCCGGCTCCTTGGAGGATCAGGGCGATGATGTCGCAGGGGATGAAGATGCGGGGGTACCAGAGGGCGGGGATGCGGGAGTTTTGGACGCCGAAGATGGTGACGATGCGGGGATAGGGGTGAAGTAGATGCCTGCAGCGAGGAAGGCGGGTGCGAATGTGAGGCAGCAGATTTGGATCATGAATGGATCCTAGGGAGGTCTTTGGTCAGTCCGAGATAGGGGGGAATATGGCATGGAGAGCAGCAGTGATTCCTTACCTCCTTCCAGGATTGTCCCACATGAGGATTCGACCAATGTAGCCCACAGCTTCCGCGATGGTCCCCAGGACCCATGGCAATGGTAAAGCCGACGAATCTCCTAGTCACTATCCCCTGGACTAGGAATGCAATGGCAGAGAGAGCGAAGATTGCAGTCAAAGTGGCATTGGCCGCCAGTGATGGTCGATATTTGTACCATGAGTCCTCAATGCTGCAGATGTCGAATGTGCATTGTTCAGGGTCAATTTCCCGCCGTAATAGCGTGGCAAGCAGGGCGGCTGTGTCGGACATGCTCAAATGGAGTGGAAGTAGGGGGACTTGAAGATCTGGTGCAACAAAAGGGAGAGCAGGATAAACGGGAGGAGATTGGTATGATGGTTGTCAGCAAATGTTGTTTTGTTCTTGTCTTTGGTAAAAGAGTATTCAGAAGCCAGATTCATGCTGAGGTTTTATATCTCTCCTGACGGGCCCTTGTATGCCAGTTTCACTTGAGCATGTAGTTGGAATTGCAATCAATGCCCCAATTTGGACAACAGCAAAGCCAACGGCCATGCCGATTGTGTGGGCAGGAGTACGTAACTCCTGCGCTCGGAAACGCTCTGAGAGAGAGTGTTGGACCGCATGGCGCAAGGAGCTGTCAAGCGACTCTCACGAACGTGCCAGGGGACTGCAGACAGCTCAGGGTCCAGAATCACAACCCGAGTACGAATGCGATTGATATCAACTATCCGAAGAGAACTTGGCGCCTGTTATGGTCGTGGCTCGCGGAATTTCGAGGCTCAGTTTGAGAATGTCGTATCAAAGGCAGCAACATTTCTCCCAGCAAATAACAGCCTGGGATGGCCCACAGGGCGCGCTCCCCGCCCCAGTCAGATCAACGGGTATTGCATGGCTGCCACAGAGCACTTTTAGCCAAGTGGCTGAGAAAAGCACGTTGTTCAGCCAAAGCACTCGTAGAGTTCTTCCGAGATTTGCTCAGCGGGACGCTGCCACGGTGGTGATAGAGTAACAGAAATGATGGCAGGTTATTGGTCCGTCGAGTGCGACAAGTCTAAACAGCGGTAAACTGCTCATTGGCCTTGAA